TTCCTTTTTGCGATTATTTTATTTTTTCTTACAATAATATATTCCAATTTTGTGTACTATCGTTTTTCTTCTTTACATTTGCAATATGTCAACTAAATACAATATAAATAAATTTATCAATCAAAAACAGATATTTTCTTTCAGAAAATTTTATAAAATAATCGAATGTAAAAGTATGTCTGCTTTTGTGTTCCCTTTCAAGGTGAAAAGATGCATGTTCATATCATCATAAATGCCTTTCTATAAAATTCAAATCTGACAATAAATCTAGCAATTCTATTTCTATTGTAATGTTAACCATGTAAATAATATAAATATTACTTTAAAAATTTTTATAAATGTTACTCAACACATTGTATTTATATTTCTAATTTTTCAGATATACATATGTATATAAGAATACACACCAATACTTGAACATATGTCTTTAGAGATTTATATAATATAAAACAAATAGCAAAGAATTACAAATAATTATTTTTCATTGTTTAAGCTTCACAATATTGTGAGCATTCAAGCTACAGTTATTCATATTATTTATCCATTTTAACTGTTATACATACAAATAAATATACAGATAGGTATTTTTTATATCAGTGACTTCTCTAAAAAAAATAAAGCAAAATTCTCTGCTTGTAATCGAATCTTGACTTTCTGTAAAAAAATAATTCTTTACAAAATAAAAATAAAATAAAGTAAATAGCAATAACTGAATAACAAGTTTCTGATGTAACGTTTAATAAAAACAACATTCTCCGATTTTTATTGCAAACATAAAGCTTGTTTATATAAAGCGTACATATCAATTGTCAAAAAAATCACTTGATTTTATTCTTACGCAAGCAAATTGTGAATCATCTATGAATGAAAGGCATTCAACTTTTTACGATGTGTATTGATAACAATCAGACAATCGGACAAAACTTATTTTTCCTTTTTTACACGAGTCTCTAATCTTGATAGCAAATTTGTTCTTCTATATTTGCGAACTCATTTATTATAAATCAAAATTTTATTAGCACAAATTTGAAATATATTATCAATTCCATCAATCACCAGCCGGTATTCATATCTTCGAGGCATTTTTTTAAATTTTCAAAAAGAAGGAAAATTCAGTTTTGCTTGAAAATATTCGATACTTATGGTCGATTTTAAATTTTACGTAATGATGAAACAATGTTCACGTCTGTATTTTTGAAATGAAAAATAAAAAAAAAGACAACGGAAAACAATGACGTGGAAGAGCGACGACAGACATCCGATTCTATACTGAGGTATTCCGTAAGTTCTACCGACACTATGATTTCCCCACTCTCCTTTCAAGATTCCACTTACTTGCCTGCCATACTAACTGTTACAGCTGCACTTTTTCATTCTACACGTGTATGCTTTGATTATACATCTCTTAAGTATATATATTAGAAAGGAAATTTATCTATGAATTGTACTTGTATAAATATTTTTATTTTCCTACAACTTTTCACGATTTAATATTATCTCGTTATACACATGGATATATTTATTAAATATTGAAAACTATATTAAATATTATATGAATTAATATTTATTAATTAATACAATATTTAATTAATATAGTTTTCCATATTTAATAAATAATTATTTAATTAATTATATTAATTAAATATTGTATTAATTTTAAATATTAATTAATACAATATTTAATTAATGTAGTTCAATATAAATATTAATAAAAATTGTATTGTTCAAGTATATGATTATATAACAGTGAAATATCTATCAAGTTTGTGATTGTTTTTTTAGCGTAATATTCTTAAACAAAATTTTCAAGCAGAAAATTATTTATCGTAAAATTTATATCAAAATATTACATAGGTTTCTTATTTGTCTCTTGATCACAGAAGCTTCCTGAATGCAAAATCATCATTTACATATGTCCGAATTTAATTATCGCAGACTTTCAAATATCACAATATGATATATCCTCTGATAAAAAATAACATGCTTTTTAGTTATTATTGCAAAACACGCGCGCATATAATGGAATCGAAAGCGGTTCATTAAAATACAATCATCATATGTGAAACAGGCAGAAATATGAAAATTTATTTTTTAAACGATATAAATGTAAAGGCTCTTAAAAATATAATCATAAAATTAAATTGAGAAATAAAAAACAAGAATTAACATAATAAATGGAGCTTGTAAACTTTATTTTAATTCAAATCATATATATAATAATGATATACAGAGTGGGTCCGAACGTTCCAGCCAGACTTTGAGATCTTATAGGAAATTTAATTCTGAACAAAAAATTTCCTATAAACATGTCGAAAAATGCTTCCTAAAGAAGTTATCGCTCAAAAACTTTTGATGAAGGAAAAGCAAAAGGTGAAAAGAAAATGAAATAAAAAGAAAATGAAACTAAATAAATTTCTTGAAAAACGTCTTTATTCATTTTCTACTATTACGTGCTATTACTAAAATATTAGTTAAAAAAATTATTTTATTTTCATAAAAGAAAAAGATTTTTATTTTTTATTTTTATCGTTTTTTTCAAGAAATTTATTTAGTTTCATTTTATTTTTATTTCATTTTTCTTTCACTTTTTGCTCTTCCTTCAACAGAGGTTTTTGAGCGATAACTTCTTAAGGAAGCATTTTTCGACCCATGTTTATAGGAAATTTTTTGTTCAGAATTAAATTTCCTATAAGATCTCAAAGTCTGGCTGGAACGTTCGGGGCCACCCTGTATATAATGGTAGAGCGTACGTTTTGATTCCTTTTTCTGAACTATCTTTAGAATAATTTGATCACAAATGTCAATAATTAACTGAAATAAATCAAAACAATATCAATAATAATGTCAGACAAGCAATGAATACGAAAATAAAAAAATATATATAAATTAAATACTGTTGTTATACAAATAATCATGTAAAAGTTATTTCTCTTGCTTCGTCAAGAGTAACAAGATCGGAGTATAATTTCAAAAGAATTATAGTCCGGCATTCTTGAGATGTGTCATTTCTCTTCTAATTAAAGTGCTAGGAAGCATAAGAGAAAACGCAAGGCACAAGTATTTCTGTGTGTGCACTTTCGTGCAAAGAAAGCTCTAAGTCTCATTATCAGTATAAATAGTATAAATGGATACTGAAAGTAACACCAGAGATTACACGTAATGAACATGAATTTAATTAATTTAATAATTAAATTATTATTACTAAAATGAATAGTTGCCGGAATAAAATAAATCATACTGGAGAAGAGAAGATGCCTTGGTAAATTTCTCGAGATAGAATAATATTATTTTTTAAAAGAATCTGATATTACATTTTATGAAAAATGAGATTTTCTTATTTTCATAAATAATGCAAACGATGATATTTTTAGCAAGTGGCTTATTAAACATAAAATCAAATAATTTAGAGTTTGTATGTTTTAATACAATTTCGTGGAATTTACAAAATTGAGAATATATATATTTGTTTGGTGGAGATGACATATATTTTTCAGAGATGACATATTATTTTTAATGAATCATCATCTTATCTTAAATGAAATAAAAGCTATAATAATAGGAAAAACATTAAATTTTGACGGTGCAAAAAAATTCGAGAATCTATGTAATATATTTACTTTACACAATTTATGAGCATAAATTAGAATAATAATAGCATTGGAAAAAATTATATCATGGAACATCTCGATATTTAAAGAACTCACAAAAGCACAAAAATTCAATTCTCGATTCAGCTCTCATATATTTTCCTAGTCTGCCAAACATATCTTCTATCGATTATTTATTGAGTTGGAAAATATGCAAATATCCTACACAAATATGTCAGTCTCTATCATGGATGATTCCTACAGATGTCTGAGCTTATGCCACTTTCTACTTCATGCATATATTCCTCTTTATTATTTAAAGGAAGTTTATTACTTGATAGAAGTTTTTTTATTAGTATCATCGGCATCATTAACATTGTCTAAAGTATAGATTTGCAAAATCAGATTTATATTTTCATTCATATGTGTAAACATGTATATGTTTAGAATAAATGTTCAAATTGCTATAAGTGAACAATCTGACAATGCCAGTTTTTATAAACTATTTTCGTAAAAATAAAATAAAATTATAAAAGTAAAAGTATAACTTATTCATTTTTATGAAATATTTTTATTCAAAATCCCATCTATTGCTTTGTTTATTTTTAAATTGTGCATCTTCTCTTCTATTTATTTCTTTTCTTTCTCCCCTCCTTCAGAAAATAAGAAGAGGAAAATGTAATATTAGAGATAAGATAAAGATTTATAATATTTAGACATAATTAAATAAAAAGAGAAAGAAAAAGAAAATAAAGATTAATAATACACACACATTTATAATACACACATCATTTTTTTTATTTTCAATTAATTCAATTTTTTGGTATCATCACTTTTCTAGCAAAAGAAGGTGTAATCGATTAAAAAAAAGATATATATATATATATATATATATATATATATATATACTTAAATATATTAAATTAATATCTTTTTAAACAACAATTTTTTGATACTACATTGTATATGAACTCGATTATAATATATTTCTGGAAAATGTAGAAATAAAAGCAAAAGGAACAAAAATAGAAGTGTTTCTTGCACAGGAAAATTATAAAACTTTAAGTGGGCGAAAGTGGAATGTAAGATATAAGTGCAACGAATATGAAATAATAATATAACCTGTTTATGTATGAAACATTTGCGAAATATATCAATAAGTTGAAAAAAATTTATAAAGCTAGATTCCACATACATCGAGGAAAGCGAGAATCATGCATCAATTTGTTTTTTTTTGCATTGTTATAACGCAAAATTCAACTGATATTTATCGGAAAAATTCGCAACAAAATTCACAAGCATTTTCTTCAATAATATTATCATAAATATTATCATAAATATAATCGAATGTATGTAAACATTAATTTTTGTAATACAAATATATATGATATATCTCTCATTATTATCACTTACCCTATTCTGTATCCTAATGTTCTCTTGACCTCTCTTTAAATTAGGGGCCCGGAGAACCTTACTCGTAAGGGGTGGTTCCATCATGATAGTAGATTCCGTTTCTTCAGGATTTCATCTCTGAATAAACGCTCAGATTTCATTTCATTTTCTGTAACAAAAAATACACATTTTTATAATAATTATATAATATTAAATATAACTTAAAAAAAATAGATAAATAATATATTTATATTAAAGATATATTAAATATATTAAATATATTAAATATATTAAATATATATTAAATATATTAAATATAATTTTTAGAAAAAATAAAACAATTTTTCATCTTTATACAAAGAGTAAGAAATGAATGATTTCTTCTCTATAGTATCATCACGAACTCATGAAGGTAGATCTTCTATTATTGAATACAATTGTATAAATATTTATTTCAACCTTGTTGATAATCTTCATGCATTTCAAATCGTAGAAATTCATAAAGATAAATGACAAAATAGAATAATATCAAATTGATTTGACAAATCAAAATTTCTAAATTTTCTTGAGACCTTAATTAAGACCTCTCGGCCATCATGATAATACACACCAAAAAATGAAAATAAGATTTGAAAGACTAAAATTTATATAAATTCCATGTCAGGTTGCAGCTGATACTCGCAAAAATGAAAATTATATAAGACGGTTCTTACACGTACAAATAATGATAAAGAACTTATTGAAAATTTGAAATGCAGCTGAATTTTATTACCATTATATTATCATTGACATTTATATTTTATTTCTATTCTTTATATTTTATTTCTATTTTTTATATTTTATTTATATTTTTTAACAATCATTCGTAATGAATTTTACGATGATTTTGTTTCAGTATTTCTTTTGTGCTTTTGCGATCCCTTGATAAGTGGCTTATCTTTTATTAATTATAATTTTCCGTTTTTTAACAATAATCGACGCATTGGTTCTCTTGTTAGCATGATAATGAGAGCAACATTGTATGTTACATTGTTTTTCCTAACGGTTGGAGCTGGTGAGAGGCTCCAGTCTTTAGGAAATTATTTTTCTATATTGTATGTTAATTTATTTGTACAGTTATTGAGAATGGCGAGAAGAGGGAGTGAAATGTTCAATAAATTTACGTAATAATTATTAGGAATATCTTATTATTTTTTACGCTTATTACCTCACGCTTTTATTAGCTTGTTTTCTGTGTAAGATTATATTAATATTCTCAACCTTTTATTCATCATATCCATATTAAACTGTATTTCGCTGTATGTCGCTTTTTAGAAGCTTTGTTTTTTTAGAATCTTAAGATATCGCACATGTTCCATCGATCATATGATACAATTCTGTCTTATTATTTATCGGATATTTTCTTTTTCATTTTTATAATTTGCATCTATTTCTCATATATGTATTTATTTTGTATTGTATGTTAATTTATCCATACAGTTACTGAGGATGGCATGAGGGAATGAAAACGTTTAATAAATTTACCTAATAATTATTAGAAAGTCTTATTATTTACGCTTATTACTCCGCGCTTGGCTCTTCTTAATCTGTTCTCTGTGTAATTTATATCGTAATATTCAGGATCTTATTGATTTTTATCATTGATTATAATCAGTTTTAAATTAACGGAGTATATGCATATTAAATTGTGTTTTTTTTTACTTTTTAGAAACTTTGTATGCTATTTTTTGTTCCGTATTTTCTATTATTTTAATTCTAGCTTTATTTTTCTATTTCAGTTTTTTCTAGTAAATTTTTAAAATGTCAAAACGTGAACGCGTCTGAATTTAATAGGGATAAATGAGCTTAAATTTTATTATTACAAAGATTACCTCAAATAAAATTACTAAACAGATGAAATATTCTCAATGCATCATTTGCAACTATTACATAAATAATCGAGACCGATGTTGTATTTATTTTGATTTATATTTAAGAAATAAAAAATTTAAAGGTACCTGATAATTTTGAACATATATAGTTTGTGTAAAAAATGTACATATATACCTATATACATTTTGAATTTATTAATTTTGAGATTAAATAATCTGAAAAAATTAAATAAATAAATTTAAATTTAATTAAATAAATAAATTTAAATTTAATTAAATAAGCAAATTTAAATTTAAATAAATATAATTGATAATTATATGATACATTCTCTCTCCCAGTGATATAATTCACAACTTTACCGCAATAGATATCATATTTAATAATGCATATAATAATGTACTTAAGAAGTAATTAAATAATTAATAAAATACGCATATGTTAGTATTGTCCATACTTTATTGTCAATTAACAGATTCATAATAATTATATGATTATATTATGATTACGTTATATTATGAATTAATTAGACACTCATATTTAAATAAAGATTAAGATAACATATTAATTAGATTAATAATAATTTAATATTAATTTCATTTGCATCTTAAAGAATTCTAAACTACATTTTTCAATTTTCAATATAATGCTAAAATAGTACATAAAATACCGTAAAATATCCGACAGTATTTGATAGAGAATTATTTTATACAGGGTGGCCTCGAACATTCCAGCCAGACTTTGAGATCTTATAGGAAATTTAATTCTGAACAAAAAATTTCCAATAAACATGGGTCGAAAAATGCTTCCTTAAGAAGTTATTGCTCAAAAACCTCTGATGAAGGAAGAGCAAAAGGTGAAAAAAAAATGAAATAAAAAGAAAATGAAACTAAATAAATTTCTTGAAAAAAAACGATACAAATAAAAAATAAAAATCTTTTTCTTTTATGAAAATAAAATAATTTTTGTTTTAACTAATATTTTAGTAATAGCACGTAATAGTAGAAAATGAATAAAGACGTTTATCAAGAAATTTATTTAGTTTCATTATCTTTTTATTTCATTTTCTTTTCTTTTCTTTTCACCTCTTCCTTCATCAGAAGTTTTTGAGCGATAATTTCTTAAGGAAGCATTTTTCAACCCATGTTTATGAGAAATTTTTTGTTCAGAATTAAATTTCCTATAAGATCTCAAAGTCTGGAACGTTCGGGGCCACCCTGTATTTTTATATTATTCTAATATTTTTATATTATTCTAATATTATTATTTCTTTGAGATAAACTAAAAGATAGAATAGATAAAAACAAAATACAAATTATTATTGTACGAAATGCTATTAATTTTTATTTTTCATAATCAGGCACTAGATTTACATCTACAGTTTGCGGTCCTTCTTAAGCATCGGATTTCCAGTTGTGCAAAAATCATTTGCATAACAGTAACATATGACTGAATGCCGAACGGTTCGGTATAGTCGAGAAGTCGTAAAAGAGAGGAAAAAAATTGCGGTTGTCGGAGTAAGAACGTCATTAAAAGAGGTTTCATTGTATCTCGTTTCATTGTAATACTTCACACGCGTTTGTATATGTTTTCGCCTGCTTACTTATGGGGGCCCGTTGCAAAACATTCAAAAGCATTAATAACAATGATTATGATCAATGTATAATTATGATGGTGATATAAATAAATATTATAAATATTATAAAGGTGAAAAGAAAATGAAATAAAAAGAAAATGAAACTAAATAAATTTCTTGAAAAACGTCTTTATTCATCTTCTACTATTACGTGCTATTACTAAAATATTAGTTAAAAAAAAATTATTTTATTTTCATAAAAGAAAAAGATTTTTATTTTTATCGTTTTTTTTCAAGAAATTTATTTAGTTTCATTTTCTTTTTATTTCATTTTATTTCATTTTCATCTTTTGCTTTTCCTTCATCAGAGATTTTTGAGGGCGCGTTGCAAAACATTCAAAAGCATTAGTAACAATGATTACGATCAATGTATAATTATGATAAAAATATCGATTAAATATTTTTTAGCTAATATTTATTTTCTTGCATTGCATTTCATTGGATTTCAAAATAACATGATTGTAAATTTTTTATGTGGCACGAACGACATGTGTGCATACAATTGAGCTGTTAATTTACATAAAAGAGGCGTTGCAATTTACAGTAAAACATTTCACATGACAAACAGATGGCCATGCATTTATGAATCTTATCACTTCAAATGTAAGTTTTAGAGAAATTACAGCTATTTCATATCACATATATTACATCACTCGAGAAAAAAATCGAATTTAATTAATCTCAATATTTAATACTTAAAAAAAATATACTGGATTATTTAGCTAAAATAGCCATGAGCACAGCTACTATTAGAATCGATTACGAATGAATAATAATAGATAAATACATCGTAAGTGCACATTGTGTGGATGATAAATTGCATCGTTGCATTATGTTATGTCATGATGCAATGTGTACAAACATTACTTGGATAATAATCCTTTGTAGAGGTGGCATATATATTTATCATGTATTTATCATAACAAAATGTATATAGTACCAATTGCTTTCAAAATGACAGCATTGACTTATTAATTGAATGAAGACATTCATTTAATTCGATTTTACTGAATAATAAAGTTGCTACATCAAATTTTTTCTATAGCACAATATATAGGATGATTCATATAAAGTGACCGATGCGAATATTAGTTAAAGTTGAAGAGCTATGGAAAAATTTTTATACCAAAAGATGTTTGACACAGAGGGAGACATCGTATGGTACAAACGATATTTTTATAGATGAAGGCATTAAGGAGATTTCAAGATCAATTTAATATTTTTAAATGGAACTCCCTATTTTTTATTACGTATTCTTATAGCTTATCTCGAAAGCTTTCCAAAACACTATAATAAAGTATTTCTTCATTGAGTACTTTAGTTATGAGGCTTGAAATCATTTCTAATTTTACATAAACCATAAAATATCTAGTAAAATATTCATTTTTGAATTATTTTACCTTAATACTTTTATACAAAATAATAAGAGAAATCAATTGGTGTAAAGAAAAAACATAGTTGTTTTTTAAAAACAATATGTAATTTGCAATTAACAATTTCATATTTTTTCTTAAAAACAATTGTATGTTTTCTTTACATCAATTGATTCCTTTCATTATTTTGTACATAAAAGCATTAAGGTAAAATAATCGAAAAATGAATATTTTACTAGATATTTTATGGTTTATGTAAAATTAAGAAATGATTTCAACCCTCATAACTCAAAAAGTACTCAATGAAGAAATACTTTATTATAGTGTTTTGGAAAGCTCTCGAGATAAGCTATAAGAATAGGTAATAAAAAATTGGGGGTTCCATTTAAAAAAATGGAGATGACATTGAAATCTCTGAAGCGCCTCCATCTACTAAAAAAATTAAAAATTAAAAATTATTAGTAGCATATTACCCTCTTGGTACCGTACAACTTTTATAAGTACAACATTTTTGTATCTCTAAAAATAACGGAGATATTCCAGGTGGAGAGTCCACCCTGTATATATATGTATATATATATATATATATATATATATATATATATATATGTAAATGTTGTGTGTTTTATCAATATAATTTGCTAGTATATAATTTTCTAGATAAGCCATGATAAATGTCAATATATTTTCTAAAAATATTGACATTTATCATGACTTATCTAGAGAATATATTTAAAAAAAATATAATAAATTTTCGAAAAAAATAAACATTTTTCGTTGCAAACTTTTTAAAAATATTTTCGAGGTATGCAGAAAAAATGAATTGCATACAATTTCAATTATTACCATCGCTTAGAGCCCGCGGCCATCCTCGTAACCTTGATAGCATTCGATTATAAGAATGCATTACCTTTATCTCGTAACGATGATGACGGTTATTATTTATAGAATCGATTCTAAATAGTCACAGCACAATGGGCTATTATTTAGATAATCTTTAACCGCACTAGTCAAATTCTGTCCCTCTGCACTTAAGATTACATTATATATATATGCGTATTACACGAATACATGCACTCCATATTTACAGAAAAGAGACGGATCGAATTAAAAAAAAATAGAGAAAAGGAGGAAAGAGATATAAAAAAAAAAAAAGAGACGGAAGGAAGAATATTTTTCTTAATATAATAAATAATATAAAAATAGTGCAATTTTTATTTATCATTTTTCGCGAAAAATAAATGCATATATCACACACATGCAGGCTTGCGTCTGTGTGCGTGTTACGTGTTGAAATGTCAAATTTAAAATCGTTTCTTTGTCAACGAAGCGCCTCCTCGTGCAATCAATTATGCATATCTATCCGTCAAAAGCGCTTCCAATCGATGCATCGTTGCATCGTCGATGATCAAAAGTATTCGCGATTGGTGTTGGTTATGTAAATCAAGAATTCAAAACGTAGAACACGTAGATGCACGCACGGGCGAGCAGAGGTAAGGAGGTAAGTATCGGTGGAACAATGAAAAAAAAAAAAGGGAAGAGAAGAGAGGGAGAGAGGGAGAGACAGAGAGAGAGAGAGAGAGAAAAATATATGTGTGTGCAAAGTATCGTTCAACGTGGACGTAAACGCGTTGTACGTTGGAGGTTACGTTTGGCGGATAATCATTAAGCGATAAGTATTACTTACATATTGATCCACGCTGCGAACATCGTACGTGTTTCGTGCTGCCGATCCCGGGGAGTAAAAAGTCGAACGCGACGAATTTCGACAATGAATACGAAACAAACACAACACACGTCAGAAAATAGACGGAACAAACTAAATCGGCTCCCACAGTCGCTCGTTGGCTTAGGCGCCTCGTTCTAGAGTGCACTGCTGCTATCTATCGGCGATGTATGTAAATACAAATTGGCGGGATTTTTGAATGGCGTATCTCTCAGTTTAGATCTCTCGATACGCATGTGACCTCTTTTCCGGCATCATTTTATTTCAAAACATTCTTAAATTGCTAATTTTCAATATATATTAATTTAATTTTACATAAAATTTTTAGTTTATTCACTAAATATTTTATTTTATTCAATTTCATTTAGTTTTTCCATAAGTCCTTTTCTTCTTTTTTGATTTTATGACCTCTTTTTCTGGCATCATTTCATTTTAAAAGATTCTTAAATTGGTAATTTTCGATATATATTAATTTAATTTTACATAGAATTTTTATTTTATTCGCTAAATATTTTATTTTATTCAATTTCATTTAGTTTTTCCATAAGTCCTTTTTTCAAAATTATTATTATCATCCGTTTCATCCATTCTTTTTATGAAAAAATTGAACTAACTAAAATCATCACAAACAATCCTTCATAAATCGAAAGATATTTAATATATTTTATATAAAAAAATATCAGTATAAGATATGAAATGTTAAGAAAAATTGATTAAATTGAATTAATTGAAGTAAATTTAAGTTAATTTAATTGAAGTAAATTGAAGTTAATTTAATAAAATTTTCACTTTTTGATTCTATGGGAATATTTTTTACGCAATAAATACAAATTGGCGGAATTTTTGAATGGCGTATCTCTCAGTTTAGACTCTCGATACGCATATGACCTCTTTTCCGGCATCATTTTATTTCAGATGATTCTTAAATTGCTAATTTTCGATATTTAATAATTTAATTTTACATAGAATTTTTAATTTATTCGCTAAATATTTTATTTTATTCAATTTCATTTAGTTTTTCCATAAGTCCTTTTTTTCTTTTTCGATTTTATATCGTAATTTTTTTAGAGAAATTAATAATTTCATTTGTATTTTATATGTAAAATTAAAAGACATTCTTTAAATTATAATTTTTTATATTAATTTAATTTTAATTTTTAACTTATTTATTAAGTATTTTATATAATTTAATTAATTTTCTTATTATTTCTTTCTTTTCCTTTCCCTCTCTTTTTCTCTCATTTAATATTGACATAATTTTTTTATAGAAATTAATAATTTTTTATTTATTTGTATATGTACGTGCATAAAATTACAAAATAAAAAAATTATTATTATCATCTGTTTCATCCATTCTTTTTATGAAAAAATTAAACTAACTAAAATCACCAAATAATCCTCTATAAATCGAAAGATATTTAATATTTTATATAAAAAAATTATCAGTATAAGATATGAAATGTTTAAGAAAAATTGATTAAAAGCAGCAGTTACCTTCGTTGCCGGTTTCGTAGAAGGAGATGAAAAATAATATAACCTCTTTCATTACCCGAAGTTAGCCGAAGTGTCGAATGTCGAGTTCACATGTTTGTACTTTTTTACATGCATACACACATACGTGGTTTTCGCAAAGAAAGCCGCTTGTGTGTAGATTTTTCTTGAGGTGTTTTTAAATTTATTTAAAAATTTATTTCTTTGATTTTTTATTTGGTTATTTATTCCTTTGTTTCTAGTAATAAGTAATTTGTGAAGATAGCAATGGATCAGATATATAAGATTTATAGTCACCAAGCATCGCCAAAAATTTGTCTGAAGAATTACTTTCAACAATACAGCGAATTATTAAACTCCTTTTTATGTCATAATCTAAATGAACAAAGTGACGAAAAGATTTTTCAACTTATGGATGTTGATCTCCCACAAGCGAGAACTCTTTTAATCAAACACTATTGCAGGTATTTCATTACAAGATATATTAAAAATATTACTGTATTCTCAAATAAAATGAAAAAAGAAAATATATATTGATTAGAATTTTTTTTTTTAATTTTACAGTATTGATAATTTATCGCCATTAATGGAACCCAATACGACGGAAAAAGAAAAACAGGAAAACACAAAATCTGAACAAAAGTTAAATAATGTTCCATTGGAAACAATTAAAGTGTTAAAGACATTATCTAAGGAAACTCTATTAAAACCAAGGTTTCAAGATGGGATTCCAATTGTTAGTAATTATTTATATGAAAATTGGAAATAAAAAAAGCAAAAAGGAAAGAATATGTGAAAAATTTATAAAATATTTAAATTTGTATCAAAATTAAATTAAAATTTTGATTACAAGTACTTTGTGATACTATATTATTTTTCTCAATAATGAACTGCAAAACCTTTGTTTTTTATCAATAATATTATATCAAGATAATAATTATAAGATTATAATTAATAATAAATTAATTTCTTTTTTTCAGAAATATGATGAATCAAGCTATTCCAATAATAATTCTGTAATACCATATAAAGAATTTTTAATTTATTGCAGAGTGTATGAGCCATTTGAATACCAGAATCGTCCTTATAAACTAAAAGCTCCAGTTGTTAATCTTAAAAGTGTCATATCGATTCTAGGATGTCAAACTCTGTATGAACTACGTCAAAAGATAATATGTCAATCTGATTTATCAATTACAACAGACACTAGTAACAAATCAAATCGTCACAAAATTGGAGCATTGGCAAAAGTAACTGTTTTTTGTTTTCAATTTTAGTTTTTTTCAAAGCTTTATCTGTTTTATAATATTTTTATTATAGATCAAGCTTTTTTCAAAGCTTTATCTGTTTTATAATATTTCTGTATTTCTGTATGTTTTATAATAGTTCTGTATAAATTATAGGTAAAAAATAACTATATTTTCTCTATTTACAATTATAGGATGTCTACAAATCAGGATTCTTTTACATTGAAGATACATTTTATAATGATACTAGCGTGGAAACTAACATTGATTATAGTAGAGTTATATTAGAATGGGCAGCAACTCGTGATTTAGGTCCATTTAAAGTTGCAACCATGGATGCTCAAATAAATTCTCTTTGCGCAAGATTTGGTTTTCCATGGGTATATGTACATCAGGGTTGTTGTGAACATTTAATTGTACTGACTGATGCCAGGTAATTTTTAATATACATATATTGCAAACATTTTTAAAATTTTAAATGATGCTAATTTCTAATGTTATGAAAAAGAATAGTAACAAAAAATAAATCAAAGTTATGCATATTCTTGATGTAATTTTATTTAATTATAATCATTAATTATTTTTTTAAAGGTTAGTGACTGAGAATGATGTATTATCATTAACTGCCTATCCAAGAATAGAAAAAATAAGGCCTGTTGTTGGAAAAAATTGCATTTCTTGCGGAATATTTAATGTACACTGGATTTTAACAGAACATAATAGGATACCACATGATATAAGTTATTTCTGTAATAAATGTTTTATATCTTATAATTATGTTGATGGTAAAAAAATTGGAAATTTTAAAGCATATAATTATCCTTGTATACCAGAACTAATGTTTGTAAAAAAACGTACAGCAACATCTAGAGAATAAGGTTTCTGTCAATTCTCTTTTGTTAGATTTTCATTTACATACATTATTTATGATATAAATTTATAAAATATATGAAATTTTATAAAAAATTATTTTATCGATGTCTCTAATGTGTATAATTTTTGCAAATTCTCCTTTGCGCTAGATAAATCTGGTTTTAATTGTAGTGCTTTCTTATACATTTGTTTTGCTGCACTAAATTTATTCCAACGATGATATAAAACACCTAGATATAAATTTTAATTGTATTAATTAAATTATAAATTATATAATTTTTAATTTAAGTCCAATTAAAATTTAATTATATAATTTTTACTAGCTAAATAATATTGAATTTATATTAGTTTTAAAATAAGTTACAAATAGATTTTCTTGTTATACCTAAATTTGCATAAATCATAGGATCTATAGGATTTTTCGATATCGCCAATTTAAATTGGATTTCTGCTTCTTCATATTTTCCTTTTTTTCCCAAAATGTTGGCTATATTAAAATAAATGGCTGCATGATCTGAGATAAATTTTAAAGCTGTATTTGCCATTCTTAAAGCTTCTTCTGTCTTACCTAAAATTATACATTAGCCTTTAGAATGTAATATAATTCACCATATTTAATACACACACACAAGAAAAAAATTCATCAATTTCAAGACATACACAAACCTAAATCATCTAATAGTAATATCATATTCGTCCATGCTCGTCTATGTGTAGGTTTTTGCCTGGTTGCATTTATCCAAGCTTTCAGTGCCTTATCGTATTGTTTTTGCTCCAGATACTATAAAAATAAATATAATTATATACTATAAAAATACTATAAAAATAAACTATAAAAATAAAAATAATTTCTATTATTTATAATTTGATAATTAAAGATAGTTTAAAATTACATTTTGATATATTTTACTCACTAATATGCCTAGATTATAATAACAATCAGGATAATTTGATCGGTGCTGTAGAGCCATGAAATAGCTGGTTTCGGATTCCTTGTATTGTTTCAATGATGATTGAGCTATTCCTAAATTCATCCATGCTGTAGCAAAATCTTTCCTAAAATTCAGATTCTTGTGTATGTCATTCTCTTTCTCTCTTTCTTTTGACACATATAACACGCATGCATACTCTACACATACATGCATACAGGGTGTTTCAGACCACCCGTATCACCCATTTAAAAACTAGAGAAATGATTATTTCAAAAAAGTAAAAACATTTTTTTTATAAATCGGTTGCGTTCTATCGAATGGTGATATTTTCAACTTCTGATTCCGACCGGAAATAGGCGATTCAGACCAGAGGTGCATTTTTTTAAATGGAACCCACTATTTTTCATTGCATATTCTTGTAGCTTACCTCGAGAGCTTTTCAAAACACTATAATAAATTATTTTTCCATCAAGTACTTTTCGAGTTATGAGGCAAATTACATATTTATATTATAATTGCAAATTACATATTTTTTCTTAAAAACAACTGTATGTTTTCTTTACACCAATTGATTCCTCTCATTATTTTCTACATAAAAGTATTAAGATAATCGAAAAAATGAATATTTTACAAGATATTTTATGGTTTATGTAAAATTAAGAAATTATTTCAAACCTCATAACTCGAAAAGTACTTGATGGAAAAATACTTTATTATAGTGTTTTGGAAAGCTCTCGAGATAAGCTACAAGAATATGCAATGAAAAATAGGGGGTCCCATTTAAAAAAATGCACTTCCGGTCTGAATCGCCTATTTCCGGCTGGAACCAGAAGTTGAAAATATCACCATTCGATATAGCGCATCCGATTTATAAAGAAAATGTTTTTACTTTTTTGAAATAACCACTTCTTTAGTTTTTAAATGGGTGGTATGGGTGGTCTGAAACACCCTGTATATGCATATGTATGCATAAATGCACATCTATGCCTATATTTTTTCCTTACAATACAAAAAAATATTTGAGTTGATGCACTAATTTTGAATCTCAAATGACATCTAATTTAAATCTAATGTGACATAATTAGACTTACTGCAAATTGATAGCTTGTTTAAATAAATTTATGGCTTTTGAAATTTGTCCATCATCTCTGAGCAAATTACCGAGATTATTCATAGCTTGAGTATAATTTGGATTTAATCTGCAACATAGATAATATAAATATATGATCGATGAATTTTAAGAATTTTCTTAAAAACATTAATATTTTATATGCATATACCGTAAGGCTTCTTGATATTCTAGTTTAGCAAGATTAATATCTCCTGTATCTGCAGCATTTTTTGCGATATTGTAATGTACCTTTGCATTCAAAGGACATACATCTAATGCTGACTGGAAGAGCAGTTTTTCATTTCTCCACTGGCTACTTCTCGTCCAGGAACGTGTAAACAATAATATAATAAGCATTATATATGCCAATAATGCCGCCTTAGGTAAAAAAAATCGAGCAGAGAATTTGTATAGGCCAATTGTAAACAACAAACAATATCCCGCTGAAGGAATATATAATATTCTCTCTGCCAAGACAAAGCCAACATTGAAGAAGATATTACTAGCCGGCAGAAATGGAAAAATTAATATCGCAAGTCCCATAATTATGTATCTGTAAAAGTTCATATATTTTTTATAATTTTCATGCGTCATAAATACACACACACACACACACACACACACACACACACACACACACACACACACACCACACACACACGCGCGCGCGCGCGCGCGCGTATATTTACATATATCGGAAATCATGATACAAAGTCGATTCCTTATAATGTAAATTAAAAATTTAGAATAAAATTTTTCAATACTTTATTGGAAAATGGATGTTGAAGATATGTTTAATGCATGTAAATGATAACTATTATATACTCTATTATAACTATTATACAGGGTGTTTCAGACCCCGTACCACCCATTTAAAAACTAGAGAACTAGTTATTTCAAAAAAGTAAAAACATTTTCTTTATAAATCGGGTGTGCTTTATTGAATGGTGATATTTTCAATTTCTGGTTCCGGCCGGAAATAGGCGATTCAGACCAGAAGAGCATTTTTTAAAATGGAACCCTCTATTTTTCATTACATATTCTTGTAGCTTACCTCGAGAGCTTTTCAAAACACTATAATAAATTATTTTTCCATGAAGTACTTTTCGAGTTATGAGGCTTGAAATCATTTCTTAATTTTACATAAACTATAAAATATCGTGTAAAATATTCATTTTTCGATTATCTTATCTTAATACTTTTATGTACAAAATAATGAGAGGAATCAATTGGCGTAAAGAAAACACATAGTTGTTTCTAAGAAAAAATATGTAATTTGCAATTAACAATTCCATATTTTTTCTTAAAAACAACTGTATGTTTTCTTTACACCAATTGATTCCTCTCGTTATTTTGTGCATAAAAGTATTAAGGTAAGATAATCGAAAAATGAATATTTTACAAGATATTTTATGGTTTATGTAAAATTAAGAAATGATTTCAAGCCTCATAACTCGAAAAGTACATGATGAAAAAATAATTTATTATAGTGTTTTGGAAAGCTCTCGAGGTAAGCTACAAGAATATGTAATGAAAAGAGAAGGTTCCATTTAAAAAAATGCACTTTCGGTCTGAATCGCCTATTTCCGGCCGGAACCAGAAATTGAAAATATCACCATTCGATAGAACGCACCCGATTTATAAAGAAAATGTTTTACCTTTTTAAAATAACCATTTCTCTAGTTTTTAAATGGGTAGTACGTGTGGTCTGAAACATCCTGTATATTCTGTAAAAAATAAATAAATATATATATATATATATATATATATATATATATATTCATTGAATATATTACTTTTCCATATATTCCTTATATATTTTTAGATATTTGTTCCACCGATGCATCAATTTCAATAGCAAAAAAATTAAAATTTTAGGTCCAAGTTGCCGAATTGTGGCATTGATTGCATATCGTTTTTCAGCCCAATGCTTTTTCAGAAGTTTAAAGAAATGAGAATTATGTAATGCAATGTCTAAGCTATAGGACGAGTGGTCCAAGACTTGTTTCCTTGGCTTGAAGATCTTGATATTTATTGTGTTCGTTATTCGAATCAATCTTGATGTATCAGTCTTGATGTATCAATGAAATAAATGCTGAAAATATATGGAAAATAATATATGCAATGATATATTATAGATTGTGATTACAGTTATATATAAATACACAAACAGACACACATACCCACACATGTATTCTCATAAAATATTAATACCTTATTTATTGAATTTCATATATTATTGCAAGATTCACATATAATTTTTGTTAAATCTAGTACATATATATTATAGAAGGATTTTTAAAATAGATTTACTCGAGTCTTCCAAAAAAAATTTACGTTTTTTTCTTTTATATTATATTTGTAAAAAAACTCAAATTCTTTTTGTTGTATCATGCTTTCTAATACATCATGTACATGTATCTCTTACCATTTGCATGCATTACATATGTACATATGCACACATACACACACATTCTTAGTATGTACATATTATTTCAAACTCTCTTCTCTTTCTCTTTTAAAAGTTTTGGAATTACCTCAAAGTTTTATCCTTATGAAGGATAAATGTGTATATAATTAACATTCCAAATAGTAACCAGAAAATAATAACTACAAAAATTCTGTAGTCATAGCCAGTAATTAAAGATATACAACCCATTGACCAATCAAAACAGAGCCATACAGGACATATAAGTAACCATATATTCAAACAATAAATATAGTTGTAATTAAGTATGCGAAAAAATATACTATTCATGAAAGATGCTGGGTTATCTACTGCTTGAAATTTAGGAGCAGAAAATCTCATAATATTAAATCTTAGAAATAAAAGTATTATTGCAATGAAAAAAAGTATAACAAGTCGTGATACTGCATTGTTGTCTTTAATGAAATTATTAAACTTTTTATTTGAATGTTTAAACAAAAGTAATTTAATTATATCAATTGGATATATTTTGTTCACTATAACGATATCATATACTGCACAAATTCCCTAAAAAATAAAGATATAAAGATAGATATTTTACACAATTATGTAAAAAATTCAAATGTAATTTTAATACTCACAATGGCAGTGATTCCAGTTTCTTTACATAGCATTGCTATGGTTATACAAATAGCAGAACCAGACATAGCAATCCATGCACGAAATGAATTTTTTGCATATATTACACAATTGTATAATAAAATTGAGACCCATGTAAATAAAGTGCATAATAATTCAGCACGCCCTACAATTCCAGATACCTAACATAAAAATATAGCACCGATTAAAATGTAATATATGCTTAAATATAAACAAATGATAATATATATGAATTTTTTACAGCTTCTGTATGAATTGGATGAACTGCAAATAGGATTGCGGCATAAAAAGAGATGTTCTGTTCATCTGGTCCCAGAATTAGATTATATACAAATAAAGTTAACAGACTATTTATACTGTGTAATATTATGTTTACTATGTGATAGTCTTGTGAAATTAAATCTTGTCGTAACCAATAATGTAATCTATAGAGATAAAAAGAGCATAAAATTAATATTTGCATATTTTTAATATAATTATATATATATATATATATATATATATATATATATTATTAATATAATTTATTTTTAATATAATTATATATATATATATATATATGTATATATATTATTACATATATTACAGAAGTATTTAAAATTTCTGTTTCCTCATTAAAGTAATATTAAATTATTCCCTATTTAATATTAATTTATGATGTTAGAAGAGAAATCATGTAATTTTTTTTCTCGTAAAAAATGTATCAAAATAGTTTTTCTGATACCTTATAACTCACATTTTTAGAGTGAATTGATAAAATAAATTAAAAATTCTTTTTTTTTTATGCACTTACATTAGTAAATGTAAATGATAATATCAATTTGTATGTGTCTAACATTTTCCGTAAAAATAAACCTTATAATATTGTAAAATAATTAAGTCAAAATTTACAGCTTTTTGTTAATTCATAAACAAAAATAAAAGATTTTTGATCCATATTACCAAGCCTGAAATATGAATAGCGTATGAAAAAATTGATTTGATATATTATGCAAAATTTATAGCAGAAAAAACTAGTATATTACAAAATTTATATTATTTCCAATTTTCTATACGACTGTAAGAGGCTAATAATATGTATATACATAGTAACAATATTTTACCTGAAACTCAAGATGGTAAAAGGCCTATATGACTTATGGCTTTGCTTATGAGATAATTTAGTGCCCCAAAAGTCATTTTTAAATATTTCCCAGATTGGTGTATCATATACATCATGATTATTAACAATAGCTTCGATATCATCGAAAACAAAATCTCCATTGTAACTGTTGACAAAACAAAGTGACAAAATCACAATTGTCCAATAAGAAAGTAATGGTGATACAGCTGAAAATTCATAAAATGTTTATTATTAATTGTCATTCAAAAAATATACACATACATATATATATATATATATATATATATTTCACATATATATATATATATATATATATATATATATATGTGAAATATATAAAATTATAATTGTAATAACTCATACATACAGACACACACCTGGTAGATGAGTTGTTATTTTATTTTTCATAGTATTCTCAATAAAAATAAATAGAAGTTATTACCACTTATTACATTGTGCTTTTGTTTACATGCAATTAGGTTGTGTTTCAAAATCGTTCCGAAACTCTTTCTGATTGGTTCCGACAGAGAGAAGACCGAGAGATGTCATGGCCTACTTTTGGGTGATCCCTGAAAGCGATACTCCCTCTATTGACATTGAGAACGTGGACATAAACTACAAAGCCAATGTCCATGAATATTCTCAGAGGATAATATATAATGTGCACAATTTCTGGTTTTGTTCCGTGCTATGTGCACGAAATGCCGGTAGCACCAGTGCTGTAATATATATATTTCTTTTTTGTAAATTATAAATACATTAGAATAATATTAAAAAAAAAATATTTATATTAACACAAAATTTTTTATTGCAATTATGTTATTCTTAATATAAAATTTATAATAAATTAAAATTATTGCAATTATATTAAATTTAATATTAATAAATATTTTACAATAATACTGAAATATAATATTAATAAATATTTTACAATAATAAATATTTAAAATAATGTTTTTGGGATGTTTCTTTAATATTCAAAAATACTATATTATAAAATAATATGTTTAAAATATTTATAAAACATCGCCAAAACATTGCCAAAATTACGTTACAAAAATTTACATAAAATTAATGTTTCAAAAGATTGATTTAATGTTTCTTGCTTACTAGGGTATAACAAGATATTTATGTATGTAATTCTTCAATCGCGAAAGATACTGTAATATTCAAAGATGAAATAAATATTTTTCTGTATTCATTGTCATATTTATATCTTTTTATTTACAAAACACAAAATGTCTGCTGTGGGATAAAAACATTTTTAACCGTATTTCTATAAATCTTCTTAATTAGCAGCAAATTGATATCTTTTTTAAATTATTTAAAAATTTAATTATTAATACATGTATAGAATTTGTCAAATTAATCACTGATTCTTTTGAAGTTTTTATAATTAAGACTCGAAAAATATAGATGTTGCAAAATATTTTAAGCCTCTTCCTTCATATAAAATATAAAGAATTTTTATTCCATTCTAATGTAGCTAATATTATTTATATATTTTTATTATCATTTTCATACCAGCATAATACTTTTATGCTTAATATTTTATATAATACAATGTACTAAATTATAAAATTTAATATAATTACGAAATAGTATTACTATTAATAAATAGGTTGTATGCTGTCTCTTAGTTTCTAATCATTTCCAATCATTATGCATTTCTATCCAATATATTCTCTTCTTCGAGTTCTTGGATTATTATGGTTTATTGTATTACTTTATGTTAACATTAAAAATTATCATCACTTGTCACTTATTCCTTCCTATGGAGTCCATTGGAATACTTTCTATGGACATTTGTTCTCATGTATAGATATTCAAATCACTGTAATTGCCTTTTTCTATTTCCTCGATTATTATTTATTATTGTCCCTTTTTCTTTCATTTTATTTAAAAATATTAATATAATTAATATAACAAATATTTATATAATCTTAGTATCTCTCTTAGTCTTCCCCTTCGACTTGTCTGGCATTGATCCTATCAGTAACTATGGTCGATATTCATAATTCACTTTTATATTTAAGATCATACTTAAAATTATCTTAAATATAAGAAAAGTCTATATGAATAATTTGAAATGTAATACAAAATAATTTATAACATGGAATAAATTATTACCCCGAAAATGTCCCAAAATATATGTATAATATTTTATAATATAAAATTTACTAAAAATTTTTATATAATCTAGACAAGATTAGCGATGATTAATCCCTCAGATTATTGGAATTTTAATATAATTTCCTTAACATTAAAGGAATATTAAAAAAATTTTAATGGTCACCAAAATTTTAATAGCCCCATCCTTTTTTTTTACATGGGGAAAATGCTCCTTATGCACCCGGCGGGATCTATTTAGTGGGCTTTCACATACATAAAATTTCGTATTACATAAAAGTACATAAATTTCGTATTATATAAGTACATAAAATTTCGCAAAAAAATTCGTATTATTATAAAAATTATTGAATGTTAACAATTTAATTTTCGTCTTTATATAAATAAAATATCTATAAAAAAACACTCAAAAAATATTAACCTCTTAAAAATTCTTAATATTAATAATATAATTATTGAAATATTTATTAATCTGTTTTCTCTAATATTATTTAAATCTACATTTCCTGATTCTTTAAAAGATACATAATATATTAATCACCTAAATTAACCACATAATAGCCCTAACAATCCTTTACTTCTTAAAAGGAAAATTAAAATATTTTAATTATCATCTAATAGCCCTAACAATTCTATTTCTCGATTAAGTGAAATTATTCGAAGAAAGCCTATCTTTAATCACGTATATTTTAATTACGTGCCCTAATTACATTATCTAACCGCGTGCCCTAATCGCGTGAATAAATGTCCGACATTACGTACTATTGTACGTAAATCTTTTCTTCAGGCCAATTGAATTTACCTATTGTTGATCTTAGCCATCTTTTTCGCTCGATCTTTAATCAGAAATCGAAAAAGGAGATAAATACTCCTTATTTTGCCGATTAATTATTGGCAAATGAGCATAAATATTTCACGCTCATCGTAACGATCGCTCGATTTTACGATCGTTCGTTAAATATTTGAATATAACTTTATTTTAACTCAAATAAAGCCAAATTACTACAAATTTCTATATATTATATTATATATACATATATATATATATTATATATATATTATATTATATTATATATTATATTATATATATTATACTATATATTATATATTATATTATTCTATATATTTTCTAATAAAATATAAAATTCATGTGTGTGTATAATTTTTATCATATTACAAATTATTTAATTAATTAATCATTTGGCTTTTTTTTAAGTTAAAGTAAAGTTTAAAAAGAATATTTATAAACAAATTCTACGATGGATGAGCTATAAGAAATTAGAATAAAATAAGTGCGCGTTATAAAAAATAAAGTAGCATCAAAAATTGATAAAATTGATAAAATTATTAATGCGTGCTCTTTATTTAATAAATTAGACAAAATCTTAAAAAAAAATTTTCTTTTCTTGATTCTCTTTTTTTAATTAATACTTCAATATATTTTCGTAATAGATGCAAAGCATTTCCAAAGAATTTATTAAAAATTATTTAATTTACTCTATCCTAGCTCATCCATTTTAAGGTAACGGATTTACTACAATTTACAATCTACATCTACATTTACATCTAAAATCTCTACGAATCTGTTACTTTAAAGTTAAATAAAAGTTTTTTTCACTCACCGGCACTGATGCGCAACAGCGGAGTTGTTGTTATCGAAGCTAGTTGTCTGTAACATACAAATATAAAATTCATTTATAATAATACTCACAAAATGCAATTAATATTTAAAAAAATTTTTATTGCTCGAAATTTTATATCCGATGTGTAAAATAATAAGCAGATAAACACGTATAGAAAAATTTTATAAATTTTTGAAACTGTTTTTAAAATAGAAAATTTTATATGACTTTTATAAAAATCTTTCTTTTTAATTTATTTAAATAATAAGATTGAATTATTGTTCGTTTATAACAAGTTAACGATTTATAACAATTAATATATAAATAATAATATTCACCATCAGGTTGCTCCGCTGATGCAAGATGCTTCTCCCAGGCCTCCTCCTCCTCTCATGTTGTTGACGCGCGATACTTTCAACGGCACTCTCGCACTCACGAGCGATATTTTTATATCGCTATTTTCGTTATTTTACGCGCGATACTCCCGCACTTTCTCGATGCGATTAAAAATTTTATAAAAATAGAGTCTAAAAGTTCCGCGAAAGCGCGACGAAGCGAAAATACTACAACGCGAAAACGCGACGCGTTGTCGAAACGCTTGCCGTCCGCGGCACGTTGACGGCATCGAAACGAAAGGGTACTTAGCTTCCCATTCAGGCACCTTAAGATTTATCATAAATTGTAAAATTTAAGATAAACCTCAAGACACCGTCCAGGTACTAAGCCCTCCCACCGCGACAAGGTATACCCCATGGGAGGGTTATATTATATTATATATAATTTTATATATAATATATAATTAATTTTGTAATATACTATATAAATTTTAATTCGCAAATATGAATGATAAATAAAAATATAAAAAATAAGAGAAAATTTATTATATAAAGCAATGTCCAAAATAATTGTTAGAGAAAGAATTTGATAATATATGGAACATCTCACATCACTACCTCACTGCTTGAAGGCCACTGAGGGAATGATCGTAGGTCAGAAACATTACTGCGATACTGTTTATATCGCCAAGGTTGACTATGTAGAGAGAAAATTTGATAATATATGAAACGTCACTACTTTATTATTCAAGGTTACTGTGCGAATGATCGTAAGTCATAAACATTACCGCGATACTGTTTATATCGCCAAGACCGACTTATACTATGTTACTGTTGTAATTCGTCGTTGAAATATTCTACGAGTGATTGCCGATTAAGAAAATTTAAAGCATTGGTCGAGATTTATTTAATTCTAATAAGTATCATTAGAGAAATTATTATAATAAGCATCAATAATCGAAAGATCATAATAAAATTAATTTCTTTATCTCCTTTTATGTTCTCTTTTTCAATTTTTATTCGCAGTAATTAATGATTGCGATTCGATAAAGATTTATCGTTGCGATATACAATTTCATGTCGTTTATCATAAATTAATTAATTTTTAATTATTAATAATTATATCAAATTATGTTTCGATACTATTGTAATCGTGTTTAGAAAAAAAAAATTCGACAATATGTGAAGCGTTTCGCACTACTTTATTGCTCACATATTAATAATAGTTTATTGCTAACATATTAATAATAGTGCGCTGCTGTTTATATTGCCAAAGTCGAACATCGGGTTATTGATAATTCATGTATGCGTGGAATAAATTAAATTATACGAATATTTTAGTACGAATATACGAATTATAATTTATTATACGAATTTTATAGTATAAATTGATTATTCATTAAACGATTAATATACCTGACAAAACTTTAACTACGTGACTTTATCATTCGATTATTTTATCACGCGTTCTCAATTTGAATTGTATTTAGATTGTTAGAAAGTTGAATGAGAGAGAGAGAGAGAGAGAGAGAGAGAGAGAGAGAGAGAGAGAGAGAGGGAGAGAGAGGAA